CTCCTCTCTGCAAATCCCACGTCCTTCTAGCTCTGATGCTGTTCTCTAGTTGGGTCATGAAACGTCTGCAAGAAAACTACCAAGCTCAGAGAGCACCAAGGACTCCACAGTCATCATCGTTCCTCCTCCTCCTCCTCCTCCTCCTCCTCCTCCTCCTCCTCCTCTCTGCAAATCCCACGTCCTTCTAGCTCTGATGCTGTTCTCTAGTTGGGTCATGAAACGTCTGCAAGAAAACTACCAAGCTCAGAGAGCACCAAGGACTTCACAGTCATTGTCATTGTCACTGTCGTCGTTGTCCTCCTCTTCCTCCTCCTCCTTTCTGTGAATCCAACCCCCTTCTAGCACTGATGCGGTTACGTACTTTGGGTCATGAAACACCTGCAAGAGGCTCACCAAGCTCAGGACCGCTCATATCAATGGAACTACACGTATTCTTCTTTACAAGACCTTGGTGTTCTGGAGCAACACAGAAGCTGGTAGCTTGGAGACACCTTGGACCTCCAATGACCTCTTGGTGGCTTGCAGATAATGTTTCAATGGGGCTGCTTCTTTCCACTTACAGAGGAGCCTGAAGGGACACATCGAGCAAAGGGTTTGGTCCCAGCAGGAGGGGCTCTTCCTTCAACCATCTATCTGGTTTTTCAGCATGGATTTGATCTTACTCTATTGGGCAGAAGAACAGCAAGGCTGAGTGATGGTTTCCTGAAAGATAGTAGATTAGATTAGATTAGATTAGATTAGATTAGATTAGATTAGATTAGAGTAAGTAGAGTAGAATAGAGTAGAGTAGAGTAGAGTAGAGTAGAGTAGAGTAGAAGAGTAGAGGAGACAGGAGAGAAGAGGAAGAATAATGGAATGTAGAATAGAACAGGGGAGGGGAGGAGAGGAGAAGAGAGGAGAGAAGAGAAGAGAAGAAAAGAGGAGAAGAGAAGAGAAAAGAGGAGAGGAGAGGAGAGGAGAGGAGAGAAGAGAATTCTTTATTGGCCAACTGTGATTGGACACACAAAGAATTTGTCTCCAGTGCATAAGCTCACAGTGTACACACAAACAACAAGATGATACATGATAGATCATAAATCATAGTTACAATCATTAATCATCAGATACAAGCAACAAGTGATAAATCATAAGATACTCATAGGAGAAAATAGTAGGAAAGATGACAAGTCGAGAAAGATGAGAAGATGAGGCGGATAATAGCAATACAATACTACTACCTGGGTAAATATCTTTAGGCCTAAGACAGTGCAGTGGGAATTAGAAGTTTAGCAGAGGGATGGCAACGGGGATGTGGGGGAGACATATATTTGTGTCTAGTTTTTTGGTCTGCAATGCCCTGTAGCAGCATTCAGAAGGGAGAAGTTGAAACCAGGGGTGGGATTCTACCTGGTCGGACCAGTTCTATAGAACTGGTTGTTATGATTCTGCCCAGTTTGGAGAACCGGCAAATCACGCCACTGGCTGGCCCTTCCCCTCTTCTTCCACTCACTCCTTACCTGGCACGCGCACCATCCAACTTGCCTGCCTTTGGTAAGTTGCTATTTTTCCTTTTCTTTCCCCTGACCATCAGCTGTTCTGCTGTGCTGGGAGATTTAGATTAGCTAGAAAGCAGGAAATCAGTGGATTTCTTGCTTTCTAGCAAATCTAAAAGCAGAGCTGAACCTTCCTTAGGACTGAAGCTTCTATTTTTCAGTGCAGATTCAGGTAGCAGATTGCAGAAAGGTAGATCTCTGAGTGAATCTGTGATTCTGTGAGCAACTCAACCTGCCTGCCTGCTTTGCCTGATTTTGGGTAAAAGTTGCTCTTTTTTAAAATAAAAAATTCAATATTTACATAAATATTTATAATATTTACATACAAGCCACACCCACCCATCATATGACCACACCCACAAATGAGGCCACACCCACAGAACTGGTTGTTAAGAAATTTGAATCCCATCCCTGGTTGAAACCGTGATGTCCAGGATGTGAGGTGTCTCTAGATATTTTCTCTGCCCTCTTTCTGACCCACCCAATATACAGGTCCTCAATGGAAAGCAGGCTGGTTGCGAGTGTGTGTGAGTGTGCTGCAGCAGCCAAAAAAGCCAATGCAATCCTAAGTTGCATTAACAGAAGGATACAATCAAGATCAAGGGAGGTACTAATACCACTCACTAAAACCTTAGTAAGACCACACCTTGAGTACTGCATCCAGTCTTGGTCACCATGCTATAAAAAAGATGTTGAGACTCTAGAAAGAGTGCAGAGAAGAGCAACCAGGGTGATTAGGGGACTGGAGGCTGAAACATACAATGAACAGTTGCAGGAACTGGGTTTGGCTGGTCTAGTGAAGAGAAGGACCAGGGGAGACAGGATAGTAGCCTGCCAATATTTGAGGGGCTGCCACAGAGAAGAGGAAGGGGATCAAGCTATTTTCCAAAGCACCTGAAGGCCAGACAAGGAATAATGGATGGAAACTGATCAAGGAGAGATTCAACCTGGAAATAAGGAGGAATTTTCTGACATTGAGAACAATCAACCAATGGATCAGAAGTTGCCTTCGGAAGTTGTGGCCGCTTCATCACTTGAGACTTTCAAGAAGAGACTGGACTGCCATTTGTCAGAAATGGTGTAGAATCTCCTGCTTGGGCGGGGGTTGGACTAGATGACCTCCAAGATCCCTACTCTGTTATCCTACATTCAATGGAACAGAAGTTGCCTCCAGAAGTTGTGGGAGTGTCATCACCAGTGGTGGTATTCGACCGGTTCGGCCCGGTTCTGGTGAGCTGGTAGGAGTGATGACCAACGGAGACCTAACCGATTCTCTCCACCGCTCTGCTGTTGGGCCCACCTGCCCACCAGGGCTCCCATACTCACCTTTTATCTGCTGAATTTGAAGCGCAGATGCTTTGCGCGGCACAGAATAGCGCTGCACGGCAATTGCTGAAGCGACTGGGATCGTGCAGGCTTGCAGGAGGCGAATCAGAATGCCTCTGCGCCTGTGCAAAGTGTGCGTTTGGTGTGCGCGTGCATGCAAAGTGTGTGCATGTGCACAAAGCGCCACCACCAAGCCACGCCTACTGAACCAGTGGCAACAATATTTGAATCCCACCACTGGTCATCATTTGAGACTTTCAAGAAGAGACTGGACTGCCCTCTGTCAGAAGTGGTGGTGCAGGCTCTCCTGCTTGGGCGAAGTGTTGGACTAGATGACCTCCAAGGTCCCTTTCAACTCTGTTCATCTGGGTTTTTTTCCTGCAGTCCTAACTAGTCCATCCCTGTCCTGTTTGGTGGCTGCTGCGCCAAACCAGTCAGTCACAAGAAATCCAAATGACAGAAGTGCAAACCACAGATTTGGCCCTTCCTCTGTCAAACTGTATCGCCCGGTCCCTGTATCGACGGCCTACTAACTAGGAGAATACATAAGGGAATTCATTTCTGAATCCGGGGCCAGGCCAATGGCACTTAGAGGAGAGGTAGAGGAAGGCGCGGGATCAGCTGAAAGTGCAGGATCATGCGGAGGAATCCTCCAGGTAACACGAGTTGGTCTCTGTGCTCGTGCCAACCGGAAGTTACACGTTCGACAGTGTGAGGGAGAGCCGAAAAGCTGCATTGCAGTGCTCGGTGCGTGATCACAGGGAGGGGGGGGGAACCTTCATGCTAACAAGATATACAACGGGAATTCTCAGACGTGCGTGTTGGCTTGGACAATTTCTTCCACGCACAAGTCATAAATAGAGATACCATCTGTCGGCCTTTCCCTCCGGCCCCCTTGTGCTCCCTCATCGCTGCCCCATTTCTTAGACTTGGCCTGAACAGATGAGTATCTCCCCTTAATATTCTTCCTTGATAGGCTGCCTCTCGCCATCCCCACCCCACTACACACACACACACACACACACACACACACACACACACACACACACCGATCCAGAATGTACCGTGTCTTCTGTGATCAATGAAGGGAGACTTCCTGTTTTTAATAGATCTGCGGAGGTAGAAATAAAAGCATGGGTTGCGTTCGAACACTTATGTTCCCCAATTTGGGTACGTTTTAATTCCACTTTTCCCCCTGAGCAGCAGCAGTGGGATCTTACCTGTTCCACTACTGGTTAGGTGCACACTAACACCTGTGCACCTAACGTGCGTTGCACCTCATGCATATGCACCTAATGCACGTGTACCTAACGTGCGCGCACCTAACACACGCACGCAGCTTTCCCCACACCAGCTGAGGCCTGCCACACTGATCAGCTGAGAGGATAAAGAAGAGAAAAGCACAGGGGCAGGTGGGAGGGCCAATCCCACACGTTTCTCTTCTTTATCCTCTTAGCTGATCGTCGGCCAAACAGGTAAGCATTTTTACTACTGGTTTGGCCTAACCGGGCTTAACCGGTAGTATCCCACCACTGCCGAGCAGGTTTCTTTCCTAGTTGCCATTCGCTGTTTGAGAATCGATTCCCAAACCTGGTCATGTATTATTATTTTTTTCAGGAAAACCTTTGCGTCCCTCACTGAGCAGTTTGCTGTTGGATATAATCTAAATTCTGAAAGGTTTTCCGGCAGCAGCTGCCACGCTAACCCAACCTTAGTGGGAAAGTCTGCTGCTCAGTCAATCTGTCTGGGCACCTCATCTTCACCAGAAGATGCATGGGACAAGAGTAGGGGGCAGCCCTGAAAATTGCCCTAGTGTTACCATGTTTCCCCGAAAACAAGACCCTGTCTTATTTTTATTTTTTTTTGCCACCAAAAAAAGCACCAGGTCTTATTTTGGGGGGACGTCATCCACTGACTAACCTCACTTGTGCGTGTCGCCCCTGGCCTCCGTTTTCGCTGTCAGAGGCCTTCAGGAACTTCTTCTTCTGTGGCCGGCAAGGCTTTCCTGAAGGCCTCTGCAGCCGATAAGAGAGCTCAGGGTCGATCCGGAGCTTTGTTATCAGCTCCATAGGTCTTCAGGAAAGCCTGGCCAGCCTTACTGGCTGCAGAAGAAATGGGCCAGCAAGGCAGGTGTCAGGGTGTGCGAGGTTTGGCTACAACTGTCCAAAGGTAAGTAGTAAGGCAGGAAGCTTAATTTTTACTTATCCACTCTGAAGTGGGTGGGATCTTAATTAGGGCTTATTTTGGAGGTAGGGCTTATATTGGGCGCATGTGTAAAAATCAAGTTAGGACTTACTTTCAGGGTAGGTCATATTTTCGGGGAAACAGGGTAGTGGACTGGTGCAGAGCAAAGTGGAGGTCCCCTCAAGAGTCTGGCATTGGGGTGGGCATAATCGCCAAGTCTGTTCTTTTTTTTTTTTTAATAAAATTTATTAATTTTCTATCAATTACATTTCTTAGTGCTTAATAAACATTGTGTTGTCTGGGTATTTAATTTGCTTAACAATACAGATTCCATTCTTACTCTCCACCCCTTTTTTCCAAGTTCCGTGTTCGTTAATATTCTGTTTTCTTCTTTCTGTTTGATTTTCAATGTAAGTCTATCCATTTCTGCACAATCTAATATCTTAATTATCTCTTCATCTTGTGGTGTTTTTTCATTTTTCCAGTATTGTGCAAAGATAATCCTCGCTGCTGTTAAGACACGTAATACTAAAGGCATACTTTTCTTGTCAATTTTTTCTGATATCATCCCTGATAAAAACAGTTCAGGGTTAAAATCTGCATAATTTTTATTGTTATAAGCATCTTGTAGGAAATTCTCAATCTAAAACATTTAATCTCACCTAGTGTACAGTTTCTGAAAATCATAAAATTATATTATGTCTTATAAAAATCAAAACAGGATATATTTATATTTATATATATAAGAAATTGTTTGCACCTTATAATTAATTTCAAAGTCTTACTGTAAGTTTCAATATTTCAATTTTATCTGGACGCTTAGTCAGTTTATATCTTTCAAAGATCAAAATCTTATTTAGTTTTTTGCTGATTATATCAGACCTTAAATTATTAAACTTTATAGTTTTCTTTCATTCAGGGTTTCCCTATTATCTTTTCTAGCCCTCTGTGTATTTTTGCCCCATTTTTTTTAGCACAAGTCCACCACATATGATGAAATGTGCCCAACTGTTGATTACATTTCCAACATTTGCTAGACACATTTTAAAACATTTTAGCTAACTTAGCAGGTGGTAAATGCCACCTGTTCTGACCCAAACCCTTTTCCAATAAAACAAACACGAACCAAAGGGAACAGAAACCTTTTAATGATTCTTACGAATCCCCGGTTAAAAGGCTGCTGCAAACTAATTAACTTTGATAAGCACGAGCCTCGCCAAAACTGTGCAAGGCTGCCAAGAATAACAGATAAGGTTACCTAGAAATATTTTACAACACAAGAGTCTTCAGATACCAATTAAGATACTGCAATGTCCACGAGGCTGAGTTTCAAAATGTCTTTGCTTCCTGCAAAGAACGTTTGCTTCACAGCTGGCTTTTATCTTCTTGAAGGAGGGGCCATTACATTGCAGCCTTACTCTCGAGTCGCCCATGCTGCTGCAGCTGTTCTTTCCTGTGAGCAGCCCTGCGCGCATGTGCACTTGGCACAAGCTCCTCGGGAACCTCCTCATCACTGCTGCCAGCCCCAACAATCTGTGAAGGCAGCAGTCCACTCCCTAATGGTCCTGGCCTGGTCATCTGAGTCCTCGCTCTCCTCAGCCATCTGCAGCTGCTGCCGGCTAACCACAACAGCCACCTATAAAACCTTTTATATGCATTTTATTTATAAGATGTTCTTCTTGTCCCAAAAAGGCTGGCTGCCTGTCCTGGCAGTCGGTCCAGCTGGAAGGCAGAGATAAATCCTGATTGTCGTGTTTTCTTGTTTGCAGAACAAAAATCCACCTTATTGCCAAGGCGAGTACAATGTTTACAGCACCTTCCAGAGCCATGAACCTGAATTTGACTATTTGAAGAGTTTGGAAATAGAGGAAAAAATAAACAAGATAAAATGGTTGCCACAGCAGAACGCAGCCCACGCTCTTCTGTCAACGAACGGTAAAAAACTGTAGGATCAACCCTGTTGATAGTCTGCCAGGTAGATTTCAGGTGTGACAATCTTGAATTCCCATGAGCTTTGCTGACCCACAAAATATGCCCCATGGGGCAGAAAATGTTCCCTTCCCAGGTGAGCTACAGGAATAGAAGCCCCCACCCCAACAGGATAGAGTATCCAGGACACCAAATCCTCAAATTTTCTGCCTAAAGTCTTTTGCATTCTTGATGGAGTAGGGCAGCTTCACCACCCCAATCTCCACCCTAGATTAATGTTTACCTGTGCACTCTGGAGTGGGCGGGATCTTAATTAGGGCTAATTTTGTGGGTACAGCTTATATTGAGCGCATGTGTAAAAGTCAAGCTAGGACTTACTTTCAGAGTAGGTCATATTTTCAGGGAAACAGGGTACTTGGGGATGAAAAATAAAATGAGAAGTGTTTTGAAAACTCCCAAATCTTTCAGTATTCCCATACATTTCCCATAGTTTTTTTTCTAGCCATAGCTATTGAATGTCTATGCCAGAAACTTGGTTCCAATGGTTTCTTTAAAAAAAAAAAAAACTATTTAAAGCAGGTGATAAATAAACAAACTGTCATGACCTTGTTAGAGTCAGACTCTGAGGGAGAGGAGGAACAACTGACAGGGAGTGGAGGTGTGCCTCTGGAGGTTGTCGAGGAGGATGGGGAAGGGCAGAGGCTAGCTGGGCAGTCAGAGGAAGAACCAGGCCCATCCCCTCTTCATCCTAGGACATGTGGGGAGGAACGGAGAAGGAAATAACATGGCTTATGAGAGAGGAAGCGGCCATGATCCCCCTCATTGGTTGCAGCTGGGGAGAATAGTATATAAGAGAGACAGTTAAAACATAATGTTGCCAGAAACAAAGCGTGTGTTATTTTGGGCTGAAGTTATCTTGGTTGGCGTCCTTCCAACAGACTGTGCCTTGTTATCTCCTTGCAGTTGGTATCCTGGTCTATTGTGGAAATTCCTTCATTGTAGTTTGTTGTGGTTTTTTATTTCGCCTCTATCTGCTCATTAAGTTTGGACAGTATTGCCTTCTTTTGAAGACTATCTTTGAATACGTTTTATCTCCAACTGAGAATTATTGAACAGTGAGGCCAAGTTGGAGGCATTAAAGGACATTTATTCACACAAGCCATACATTTGTACGATAAAAAATAACTTTCATAAGTATATATAGTCTCAGCTTACGACTGCAATTCAGCCCAACATTTCTGTTGCTAAGTGAGACAGATGGTAGGTGAGTTTTGCCCCCATTTTACGACCTTTCTCACCAGTGACATTAAGTGAATCGCTGCCATTTTTATGTAAGTAACCCAGTTGTTAAGTGAATCTGGCTCCCTGCAATGGCTTTGTCTGTGCAAAAGGTGATCGTATAACCCTGGGACAGTGCAATTGTCATAAATATGAGCGTCCAGATTTTGATCCCTTGACCATGGAGATGCTGCATCAGTCATAGGTGTGAAACACGGTCATAAAATAGAGCAGAAGGTGGAGTTTCACCTTTTTTTTCAGTGCCGTTGTAACTTTGGGTCCATAAATCAACTGTTGCAAGTTGAGAAAAATACCTATATTGTATTTAAAAACAAAGGGATGACACCAAAAGATGAATGTGTTTCTTTTCATAACTATGATGGCTTTTTGGTTTATTTGAAGATAAAACTATTAAATTGTGGAAGATTACCGAGCGAGATAAGAAACCCGAGGGATATAATTTAAAAGACGAGGAAGGAAAGCTCAAGGAATTATCTATGGTGACCTCACTTCAGGTGGGTGCTTGGAATATTTTTGTTTTTTTCCGTGTTTAGATTGTAATTCTTTCCCTAATTTAAAACACCTCTTGCATGGTTTCAATTCAGGGGAGCCCTTTAGCCAGGGGTGGGATTCTACTGGTTCAGGCTGGTTCGGGTGAAACGGTAGCTCCGACGATCAGCTTTGAGCGAATCGGTTCGTTCCGACAATTAGCTGTTGAGCCCAACTGCCTGCCTAGGCTCTAGTCTGAGCTTTGTTTCCGGGTTTTCCACCTCAGCTGATTCGCCAGGCGCAGTAGATTGCCGTGCATCAACCGTTTTACACACAGGGCTTGCAGCAGAAGGTGAGTTGCAAATTCTGCGTGCGCAGGTGAAGCGTGCGCTCACCGAACCGGTTGTTACACCAGCTGAATCCCACCCTTGCCTTTAGCTGAAATGCCATGGCATCCGAGAAAGATTTGGATATATTTATTCACTCACTTCAGTGAATAAATATTCGCGTTTATTCACGCATTCACTTATTATTCTTATTGCATGGATGTATCTCTATACTGGGACCTGGGAATGTGAGCTTAACTCCTGCTTCTGAGTATTGATCCGATCCAAAACCGAACGGAAGTGAAAGCAAAGTGCAAATTCTATGCCCTGGAAAAGTTGGCAGCACCACATTTAGCAAAAAATCTGTCCATCTTGAGTAGCCCAGTGGTGGGCTGCTACCAGTTTGGACTGGTTCTAATGAACTGGTTGTTCTGATGATCAGCTGGCCCCCACCCAGCCACCTCCGCCCTATCCTGTCCTATATTTCCATCTTTTTTTCATCTCGGCTCATTCACACAGCACAGTGGTTTGTCGCGCCTCAGCTGTTTTACTTACCGGGGCCGCCCTGTAGAGGTTCCAATTGGTGTTTTTGGAATGCTGCATGCGCTCACAGAACCGGTTGTTAAACTGTTTGCACCTGTAGCCCGCAACAGATTATTTACTGTGGGACAGGAAGGCACTCTCACAAAATGACCTCAGATCGATGCAAATGTATTTCACTCTTATCTCCTTTTTTTTGGAACCATAAAAACCGTGGCACACCCAACTTGTATTTTCACATGCCTCTTAGAACGAAATTCTCCTTGTTTTATCTGATTTAGCTTCCACGGCCTCTGCCCTCGCGGAGGCGAAGCGTCTCAGATTCTGCACCAAGACCCTATAGATGCATCCAGGGCCACTTTGTGAGGAATACAGATAGCCCTCGACTTACAACAGTTCATTTAGTGACCGTTTGAACTTACAATGGCATTGAAAAAAAATGGGTTAAGGCCGTCGTTCAGACTTACGATCCCAGTTTTGGGTTTTTTTGAGACATAGAGGTAGGTTTTTGCAAAACGTTGCACAGGACGTCCTCCGACTTTGCAACGGCAAGCGAGCCCAGAATTTATGTTGCTAAGTGAGAAATCCGTTAAGTGAGCTTCGTCCCTTTTATGACTCTCCTTGCCCTCGTTGTTAAGGGAATCCCAGGGGTGGCTCAATGAGTCACATGGTTGTTCAGCGAATCTGGCTTCCCTCGCCCCCTGTTGACTTTGCAGCTCAGAAAGTTGCAAAAGGGGATCCTGCTGTCCTAAATAGAGGAGTCAGTTGCCAAGCGCCTGGATCATGTGCCCGTAGGGAGGCAGCAAAGGTTGCGAGGGTGAAAAATGGCGGTAAGGCACTTTTTTCGAGTGCCATTTTAACTTCGAATGGTCACTAAGTGTTGTAACTCGAGGGCTACCTGTACGGTATTCTCAGGGGTGGCCTTCAAAACATTTAGCAACCGGTTCTCTGCCCAGTTCCTGGGTGGGTGTGGCCATAGTGGGTGTGGCCCAGTCAGCCACCTCCACCTGGGGGGGGCATTTTTGCCCTCCCCGGGCTCCAGAGGCATCCCTCGACCCACCAGGAGGGCAAAAACAGCCTCCCCTGGGCTTCGGAGGCTCTCTCTGAGCCCATTTCCAGCCTTCGCAGAGCCTGCGGGTGGCGCCCATTTTTTGCCCTCCACGAGCCTCTTCATGGGCCCTGCACTTACCTGGGATCCAAAACAGACCACTTGGGGACTCCTTGGAGGGGCGGGGCGGGGTGGAGGGGGCCAGCCGGTCATTGCAACTACTGGTTCAAAGAATCAGATGTAAAATTAACATCCGGTTCGCCCGAACCGGTGAGAACCGGGGGCAGCCCACCCCTTGGGTACGCTCCCTTTCCCAAGCCCTTGAAGAAGAAACCTGTTCTGTTTATTTCCGCAGGTGCCTGTGCTGAAGCCCACTGACTTGATGGTTGAAGTCAGCCCCAGGAAAGTTTTTGCAAATGGCCACACCTATCACGTGAATTCCATTTCGGTCAACAGCGATTGTGAGACTTATATGTCGGCCGACGATCTCAGGATTAACCTTTGGCACTTAGCTATCACCGACCGAAGCTTCAGTATCCTTGGCGCCGCTTCCCACTCTTCCCTGTGAGAGGCGGGATCACCCGTAGATTTCGGGCCCCTGAGATGCAAACCAACACCTGTGTCCCATGCAACGTATTCTCCACGTCTCCGTTATGCATATAAACAGTCCTACTAAGAGCCGCGGTTGGTGCAGTGGTTAGAGCAGGGGTGGGCTGCTACTGGTTTGGACTGAACCCTTAGTTCTGGCCATCAGTTGGCCCTGCCCGCCTGCCCCTGCCATAGCCTGTCCTATATTTCCATGTTTTGCAGCCCAGCTGATTTGCGTGGCACAGCGGTTGGCCGCGCCTCAGCTGTTTTACTCACCGGGGCTGCAGTAGAAGTGATGTTTTAGAGCTGAAAATGGGTGATTTTCAAATGCTGCGTAGACTCACCAAGCCAATTGTTACACCGGTTGAATCCCACCACTGGGTTAGAGTGCAGTATTGTAGGCTACTTCTGCTGACCGCCGGCTGCCTGCAATTTGGCAGTTCGATCCTGACCAGCTCAAAGGTTGCCTTGGCCTTCCCTCCTTCCGAGGTCAGGAAAACGAGGGCCCAGATTCTTGGGGGTGAGAGGCTGACTCTGCAAACTGTTTAGAGAGGCCTGTAAAGCACTGAGAAGCTGTATATAAGTCTAAGTGCTGGGCTACTCTCCCAAAATACTATGGCCTCTTTTTTTCTCACGCACTCCAAGATTACAAAAAACTTCCCTTGGCCATTCCTTGTTCCTCTGCCTTGTCTGCTCTCCTTTCAGATCCCTTTGTCTCTCTCATGGAGGGTATCCCTTTCCCTGGAACACTTGATTGTCCCTTCCATAGGGACGAGCTTCTCTATTTTCCCCCAGACACACAAAGAGAGAGAGGAACATGCCACAACTTTCCCCTCCATGTCCCACATATAAAATCATTGCTAGAAAAATGAATGGTTGCAGAACAGGAGCGGGGAATGAGAGATGTTTTATGACTTGTGGACTTCAACTCCCAGAATTCCCGAGCCATCAAGGGTGAGGAACTATGTATGGCCCCTTTATGACTTGTGGACTTCAACTCCCAGAATTCCCGAGCCATCAAGGGTGAGGAACTATGTATGGCCCCTTTATGACTTGTGGACTTCAACTCCCAGAATTCCTGAGCCATCAGGGGAGCGGAACAAGTCCCAGAATTCCTGAGTCAATGGGGTGGGGAACAATGGCCTCTTTATGACTTGTGGACTTCAACTCCCAGAATTCCTGAGCCAGCATTTCTTTTTTTTTTTTTTAGACAAACATACACAAACAAAACCTAAAACCTAAAACCATCTTCCAGTTACATACATACAGTATGTCGGTTGGTTACAAATCTTTTGTGCATCCTCTCCGGAGTCCTCACTTACAGTTTGTATAAATTCTCATATTATCAGTCTAATATATGTTACATTATTATCATTATTAATCATTTATTTGACTAAACTATTATACCATCATTTTATGTGAGATATTCAAATTTTTAAATTGATCTGTACTATAACAATTCATGGCTGGCTCAGGAATTCTGGGAATTGAAGTCCACAAGTCATGAAGGGGCCACAGTTCCCCACCTCCGCTCTAGACAACGAAGGGTTATGATTGTGGTGGAACAGCCAGCTAGGCTGGAGTGACGGCGTGAAGAGACGGCTGAGCTTGGAGTCCTTGCGTCGCAGGGAGCGGCATCGATCTCTCCAGAATCCCCGAAGCCTTATCCGACCATTCCCAAGAGGACGCAATCAGTCTGGCAAGATTCTTGTAATACAGACACCAAGCAATGAAGGGTCTGCTTGAGAGCGGTCACGAGAGGATCTGGGTTGCAGGCGCATAGCGATTATTTTCCTTAACCGGCCTTCCCTACGCAGACATTGTGGACATAAAACCCGACAACATGGAAGACTTGACCGAAGTCATCACTGCCTCGGAGTTCCATCCCCACCATTGCAACCTCTTCGTCTACAGCAGCAGCAAGGGGTCCCTCCGGCTGTGTGACATGAGGGCCTCGGCGCTCTGCGACAAGCATTTCAAGAGTAGGTTACGGAGGCGCCTTCTCTCAGTGGGGCAGCAGGGCATGGCGAGACATTTTGTTGACATCCAAAGGGTTCTTGGCAGGGGTGGGATGCTGGGGTTTGCAGAGGTTCAAGAGAGCCCCCAGCTAAGATTCTGTGCGGTTTGGAGAACCCCCAAATCCAACTTCTGTCTGGCCCTACCCACCCCGCCCCTCCCAGGAGCCCCCACACACCCCGTTTTGGATGCCGTTAAGTGCAGGGTGCGCGCGGAGGCTCAGGAGGGCAAAAAAAATATGTCTTCCTGTGGCTCGAGAAGGACGAGGGTAGCGGAGTCTGTCCCTTCTCAGCTGCAAGGCGGGGGGGATGGCCAGATTTGCAATTATTATTTTTAAGTATTTTTATTGTACTTTTTCCTTTATTATACATCACATTTCCAGTTTTGCAACGGCCGTGTACCGTCTATATCAAGTCCTTTTAAAATATACATCGTATTATACACCCTGGTTATAACGTGCGCGTGTGCAGAGGTGCACGGCACACACGGGGGGTGTTTTGTGCACACATGTGCAGGGGGGCGGGAGGGTCGCACACGCAGTGCATTATGGGTGCCAGCACACATAATTGACAGACCTGATGTAGAATAAAACCAGAGAGGAATGGCCTCTCTGGTTTTATCCCAGGACCCATTTTTGAGCTGAGAAATTTTGGACAAGAGGTGAACTCCACACCACAAGACCTGGAAAGGATGAATTGGAGGAGAGGCTCCCTTTTATGTGCATTACAAGTGGAAATAGGCAAAATACATCACAAAATGTGAGGTGTTAAATGTCGTAGAAAAAGCAGCTGTGTAGAAATGTGACGTACTGTACTACTCCTAAATTTTCTTTCCTTCCTTCCTTCCTTCCTTCCTTCCCTCCCTCCCTCCTTCCTTCCTTCCTTCCTTCCTTCCTTTCCCTTCCCTTCCCTTCCCTTCCCTTCCCTTCCCTTCCCTCCCTTTCTCTTCTCTCCTCCCTCCCTCCTTCCCTTCCTTCCCCAGTTTTTGAAGAACCAGAAGATCCCAGCAGCCGTTCCTTTTTCTCCGAAATTATTTCTTCGGTGTCAGATGTCAAGTTCAGCCACAGTGGGCGCTACTTGCTAGCAAGGGATTACCTCACTGTCAAAGTTTGGGATCTGAATATGGAAACAAAGCCTATAGAAATATATCAGGTATTTTCCCCGTGTCTTTTTAGGAACCGTGCCATGAAAGTGATGTGACTGGCTAGGTCTGTCGGCATCATTGTGTCAGAGAGATGTGGCCACATAAGAAATGTTCTGTCCCAGAGGGATTGGGGTGGGGGCTGCTTTGTTTTCGCCAAAGCCCACCTATCCCCGGAGGCTCTCCAAACAATGAACTGAAGCAAGAGGAAACCAATGGTCCTCTCTCTCTCTCTCTCTCTCCCACCCTCCTTCTCCTTCCATCCCTCTCTCTTTTCCTTCTTCCCTCTCTCTCCCTCCCTCTCTTCCTCCCTTTCTCTCCCCCTTCCTCCTTCCCTCCTTCCCTCCCTTTCTCCCTCTCCGTCTTCCTCCTTCCCCCTCCCTCCCTCCTTCCCTCTCTCCCTCCTTTCCCCATCTCCTCTTCCTCCTTCCCTCTCTCCCTCCTTCCCTCTCCCTGCTTTGTTCCTGCTCTCCCTCCCTCTCTTCCTCTTTATCCCTCTTTCTCCCTCCTTCTGTCCCTCTCCCTTCTTCCCTCTCTCCCTTCCTCCTTCCCTCCTCTTCCTCCCTCTCCTTCCTTCCCTCCCTCCCTCTTCTTTTCCTTACCTCTCCTCTCCCTCCCTCTCTCTCTTCCTCCTTCCTTCCCTCTCCTCTCCCTCCTTCTCTTCCTCTCTCTCCCCCTCTCTCTTTTTCCTTCCCTCTCTCCTTAATCACGTGTTTCCCTCTTTAAAACTATGTACAGGTAGTCGTTCATTTACAATAGTTCATTAGTGACCAATTCAAAATTACAAGGGCAGTGGAAAAAAATGACTTATGACCATTTTTCACTGTTATGACCTTTGCAGCATCTCCGTGATGAAAAATTCTGACACTTGGTGACTGGCTCATACTTACGACCGTCGCTGTGTCCCCTGATCCCCTTTGGCGACCTTCTCACAAACAAAGTCCACGGGGGAGCCACTTAACAACCAAGTTACTAACTGATCAACTGCAGCTGCTCACTTAACCACCGAGGCAAGGGAAGGTCGTGAAATGGGACAAAAAAAATCAATGAACCAACGTCTCTCTTCACAAGAGGGAGGTTGGGCTCAGTTGAGGTCGTAAGTCGAGGATCTCCTGTACTTCTCCCTGCTAGAAAAAAAAATGGACCAGAAACTTGTTTTTTGTTTCGTTAGGTCTTTCCTTCTTTTTTATGTGAATGAGGCCGTAATTTTTCCGACTCAGGGTGATGAATGCGAAGACCCAGCAAAGTTATGTAAAGGGTTAATTGAACTAATGAACGGGATCTTGAATCAAACTCTACAACAGGGGTCCCCAAACTTGGCAACTTAAAGACTTGTGGACTTCAACTCCCAGAATTGAGTTCGATCCAAGGTAGAGGCAGATACTTCTCTCTCTGGGTGCTCAGAGAATATATCTGCCGAACAAAACTCTGCATTGGTGACAGGAAGGCATCCGGCCAGTAAACCCATTCAGTTGCCCAGAGTCCACCCCACAAGGGATTATGTGGTCATTAAAAGAAGATAAGGCTGCAAGAGCTATCGATAAATAGTCTGACCTTGAAGAATGACATGCCTCTTTTTCTGCCCCAAACAGGTTCATGATTACCTTAGAAGCAAATTGTGTTCACTCTATGAAAATGACTGCATCTTTGACAAATTTGAATGTGCATGGAACGGGTCCGACAGGTAATGGCAATAGCACTTAAAGACTTCTATACCGCTTTGTAGTGATTTACACCTGTGTCTAAGCAGTTTACAGAGTCAGCCTCTTGCCCCCAACCAACTGGGTCCTCCTTTTACCGACCTCGGAAGGAGAGAAGGCTGAGTCAACCTTGAACTGGTCAGGATCAAACTTTTGGCAGTCAGCAGAGTTTGCCTGCAATATTATAGGCAAGGGGCAGGAAGGAAGGGAGGGAAGGAGGGAGGGAGAAAGGGAGGGAGGGCGGGGAGGACTAGCAATAGCACTTTGACTTATAAACCGCTTCACAGTGCTTTCCGGTCCCCTTTAAGCAGTTTACAGTCAACCTCTTGCCCCCAACAATCTGGGTTTTCATTTGACCGACCTTGGAAGGACAGAAGGCTGAGTCAACCTTGAGCTGGTCAGGATCGAACTGCTGGCAGTCGGCAGATTGCATTCTAACCACTGCACACCATGGAAGTTTAGTTTAGTTTACTTTATTGTCATTGCACCTCGTACAATGAAATTAAATACCATCGTTGTAGGGAAGGAAGGAAGGAAGGAAGGAAGGAAGGAAGGAAGGAAGGAAGGAAGGAAGGAAGGAAGGACGGAAGGAAGGAAGGAAGGAAGGAAGGAAGGACTAGCAATAGCACTTATATACTGCTTTCCAGCTCTTTCTAAGTGGTTTACAGAGTCAGCCTCTTGCTCCCAACAATCTGGGTCCTTATTTGACTGACCTGGGAAGGACGGAAGGCTGTATCAACCTTGAGCCGGCCAGGATCGAATTGCTGGCTGTGGGCAGAATTAGCCTGCAATACTGCATTCTAACCATGGGAGGAGGAAGGAGGGAGGAAGGACTAGCAATAGCACTTAAGAGTTATATATCGCTTTCCAGCTCTCTCTAAGCAGTTTACAGAGCCAGCCTCTTGCCATCAACAATCTATATCCTCATTTTACCAACCTCGGAAGGATGGCAGACTGAGTCAACCTTGAACTGGTCAGAATCCGACTTCTGGCAGTCGGCAGAGTCAGCCTGCAATACCGCATTCTCACCACTGCACCACCATGGCTCTGTAATGCCTCCACAGACATCCCATTTAATGTCTTGGGGCGACTGTCGGTAACTCCTCTGCCCTAGCCAGCTGTCTTTGGCCAGCCAGTAACAAAAGGTCCAGCAGCTTTTCAAAGGTGGCCAGTAGGAACCAGGCAGCTCCCGACCTCTTTGCTGAGGATGTATGCAGGGTTACCCCCACAGCCCCCCCCCCCCCCCCCCCCAAAGGTCTTGGAAGAAGAAGGAAAATGAGGAAAAGCTGGATGGAAACCAATTCTCCCAGGACTGGTGATGATTTGAAGGCAACGAATCATCTGCTATGTCTGGGGGTCAGACTGGGGTAGGCTGCTGATGCTTCGCACTGGTTCTGGCGGACTGATTGTTAAGATTAGGTGCAGTTCTGCGAGCCGGCAAATCCTACCACTGGCTGGCTCTGCCCCTGCCCATTTTTGGCCTGGTTTTTGGGCTGTTTTTAGGCTGTTTTCAGGTCAAAAATTGTCTGAAAAATGCCCCAAAATGGACTGTTTTTGGGAAGTTTTCAGGCTGTTTTTGGCCCAAAAATGGCCTGGAAATGGCCCCAAAACAGGTCCAAAAATGGCCCCAAAATGGTCTGAAAATGTCTCCCAAAACAGCCCAAAGGCCCAAAACTGGCCTGAAAATATCCCCCAAAATGGCCTGAAAATGGCCCCAAAACAGGCCAAAAAATGAGCGGGGACGGGACCAGCCAGTGGTGGGATTAGCCCCAACCGGCGGAATCCTACCTATTCCTTTGAGGCGAGTGGCTGGGAGGCGGGGCTGGGTGTGATGAGTGACATCACCAACGCAGTCACATGACCAACCAGTCACATGCCTACCCAGCCAGAGAACTGGGTATTAAAAAAATTTGCAGGCCACCACTGGGAGGGGTCTTTATCCTTCCCTTTCACAGTGGCTTCCCAGGAAGGCTGTGCACAAGAGAACGTCTTTATACGGCGGTCCTCTCTCTTCTTCATGATGGCCTTTTGGAGTTGGTGTTTTCCGCCTGCAGATGTCATCAACTGAAGCTGCACAAACCATGCTGGCAGCCTCCCAATGTGGGGCCGAGGGCTGCAGCGCAGGGAATTTCCTCTCCTTCCTGGCCAGCTGACTAATCTCCCTGCTCTCCTTCTCCTGCAGCGTCATCATGACCGGGGCCTACAACAACTTTTTCCGAATGTTCGACCGAAACACGAAGCGCGACGTGACGTTGGAGGCCTCCCGCGAGAACAGCAAGCCTCGGGCGGTCCTGAAACCTCGCCGTGTGTGTGCCGGGGGCAAGAGGCGGAAAGACGATATCAGCGCCGATAGCCTGGACTTCACCAAAAAAATTTTGCACACTGCCTGGCACCCCACGGAGAATATCATTGCTATTGCGGCCACAAACAATCTGTATATCTTTCAAGACAAAATGAACACGGAAGTGCATTAGGGTTCCTTTGGAGAGAGACATGTCTTTGGACCAATACTGCTACTTGCTTGATGAGAGAAAGGCCTTTATTGGGAAGTACACACCCTGCAAATCAACGGAGCTTACTCCCCAATAAATGTCTGCAGCAATAAGATGTATGTGGATTAATTATTCCGTGACTCACCACCCAGTCTTTTGATGACCACTCTATATTTTAATTCATTGCAACCGCCATACAGTTGTCTCAAAAATAAATTCTCCTTATGACCAGGTGGCTGGGGTCTGTTTCATTACTCATCGTTTTATTCCGGTTTCTGAAAGACTCTTGGGTAGTCACAGGGTGGCTGGAAAGCCAATCAATCCAGAGGAAAGTTGTTCGATATGGTCCTTGTGATCAGTTGTCATAACCCCAACATGATGCTGGGGTAAATATATGGCAACTTCATCCTGCTGCCCCAGCCGGCCTTGAGAAAAATCTTAAAAACAGGGAAACTAAACTCTTAAAATATACTTGGCATTTAAGCTGTCGGCTTGAGCTCCGAGCTTGGCGATTTGGCTGCAAACATTTTGTCCGTTTGAGGAGACATCGTCGGTACGCTTTGAATTGTGCTCGTCTTTGAGTTCTGAGCATGGCGATTTGGCTGCAAATGTTTTGTCCCCATTCGAGGAGACGTTGTCAAGTGCACTTTGAATTGGGTTCGTCGCCAAGGACAATTCCAAGTGCACTGATGACGTCTCCTCGAATGGGGACGAAACGTTTGCAGCCAAATCACCAAGCTCAGAGCTCAAACCGACAGCCTAATCACCAACCCGAGCTACTAATATTCAAACACATTTCAGAATTGGTATTCTCAATTCAAAGAGTGGAGAGGCGGCTTGGGATATTGGCGGGCTTGGATGTCGGTGGGCTTCTGCAAATTTCTTGGATTTGCTGTCCTCCCAATCTCAGAGAAACCCTAATGATTAGGAATAATGGTGAATAATTGGGCAAGCTGATAAAAGACTCAGAAGGAGAGGGTGAGGTGGAGCCATTAACCCAGAACTGAGGACAATTTGACTTGACCTCAGAGTAAGGTGAGGCGTGCTTCAAAATCTCCAGTGGCTACTCCATGCACAATGCAGAATCTGGTATGTTAACATACTACATGCATATGAAGGGTACAAAAAAAGAGACGACAATAAGTGTGTGTCACATTTTTAAATCATTATTTTATGCTTGTGATCAGAAAGGACAAATTCATCTCCAGATGTTCATTACCATTTCCAGAGTTAAGCAATCGTGCTTATCACTTAAACCATTTCCTTTCCTCCTCCTTTCTGGAAGAAAAAAAAAAAAACGAGGACGGGACGAAGGCCCCTTCCTCAGGAAAAAACAACAACACGCAATTGTACCGTTGAATTAACTTCATTCTGTTCGCAGGATGGCAGAGAATTTATTTCCTCCACAGTTCATGGGATTAGGAGCGAAGGGAGAACAGAAGCTCATGGTTTCATGGCGCCTGGCACAAGTCGTAAATTGGAACATTTGTGCCCAGGTTTCATCATGCACCCTCGTTTTAACATCAGTGTGAGTGTTACAGCTGTGGAACACTGTCAATTATTGAGAATAAATAGAAGGCAAAGTTGTGGGTTTAGCATCTTTGGTTAGATAAGTTAGTCCTTTAGAATATCCTTCCTTAGGCTTTCAATCAGTAAGCAGCTCGGCATCCTTCTAAATGTAGAGTCCACTGTGCAAGGCAGAAAAATTATCAGGACTGCAGGATAATGTACTGCGCTAAATGCCGTTCAATCTGATTGCGACAACCAAGAGGAGGCATTAACAACCAGAGCTTAAGAGGCAACGGACAGGAAAGGGGAGAATAAAAAATTGAAGGCAAATCTTACTGCTTTCTGAACGGTGTTCCGCCAGTCGTGCTCCACTTTAACGTGCCGGCCGGCCGGGGAGAGTTTCGACAGGCAGTTCAAGCAGGTGAGAGCCTTCAGCTCAAAGACCGGCCACTTGCTCCCCAGGCGGCCTTCCAGGATGGTGCTGAACTCAACCAAGCTGCCCTGCCTCAGGTTCAGCAACACCTGCTTGAACTCACTGCTGGCCTTCAACACAATGTCCTTGGTGACATCGTCCTCCTCGGGGGCCCGGTTGCCATTCCCGCCACCAAGGGGCATGCCTACAGTTATTTCGAATTTGTACCGGTCGAACCTCTTGATGTGACAGTCGTGTTTGGCCAAGTACTTCAAGCGACAGAGCTCCTCCTCCTCCAAGGTGGCATTCCTGGGGTCGCAAGCGGGATACGTTTCTCCATACAAACATCTCAGCCAGTCCCCAAGGAAAAAAGGAAGCATATTTATGGTGGACTCGGCACTGTTCTCAATGCTGGTCACTCGGACGTACTTGAATCGCCCAGTCCAGGTGACCCGGTGGCCTTCCAGATGACTGCATAAAATTTGAGTTCGCGCCATGTTGGTTTCCTTCCAAGCCCGGGGCCCGCAGAGAAACCCGTACTGATTCCACGTCAACGTCGAGTTGTACACTTTCATCCCTTCCAAGCGATAGACATAAAACCAGCAGAAGAGGACAATGGCGGAAAGCCACACCAGAATAAGTTTCACAATTGAACTCTTGGTCAGGGACGTCACCATTTCGACGATGGAGACTCTGGCCCGCGTGCAAAAGTGGAAGAGCAAAGGAACCGCGCAAAGGAGGAGAGTGACCAGGATCTTGGTCAGCTCCTGTGTTATCAGCCATCGTAGGAAGTGGAAAAGGCACATCAGGGCGACGCCCAACATTAACACCGGAAGGGCAAACAGGAATAAAAAGTAGCCCACGGAAGCCCGAAGGAGACCAAGCCCGGTCGATTCCTGCAGGATCACGACAGAGAGTTCACACCACATGAAGCAGACCAAGTAAGGAACCAAGTAGCAATAGGTGCCTTTAAATTTCTTCAGTTGTGCCATGCGATAAAAAAAGTAGAACAAGTAGAGGAACAAGAGGCAAGGGAGGCTGAGGTTCAGCACCAGGACGCTGCCGAGGGGAAGACTGTAAAATGTTTTACCCAGGAGCTTCACGGAACCCCAGTGGTCGGGGGCCCCTTGCAGTAGGCAGAGGGCCCCCGCAGTCACCTCGGTCATCAGGGCCCTTCGCGTGTAGGGCTCCGCACTGGTGCACAAGCTCATGTAACTTGTCACCATGAAGAAAACGGAAACGGTGGCCAGCTCGGAGCAGGGCATCCATTCCTTGCTGGCTATCGGGAAGGAAAAAAGGACGAAGAGGACCGATAGCAGGAAATGGAAATAAGGCTCCAGGTGATTCCAGGTGAAATTCCCTTCTGCCTCATCGACGTCCAGATTGGGCTCGAAACGGAGGAGGATGTCCGTGAGGGTGCGGAAGTTCTCCCAAGCTTTGCTGTCCTGAAAGACTTTCAGGGTGCAAATCACCATGGAAATGAAAGAGAGGTAGAAAATCACGAGGGGGATGAAGAAGGCGAAGAAGTCGATGGTCAGGTTGCTGAGGATGAAGAAGAAGATCAGGGCATTGACCTGGTGGGTTGGGATGATGGTGGACAACCAGTGCATGCCAGCTTTGGAGGCCACCTCGATCAGGTGCTCTTTCATTTCCATGATGGCGTGGAGGGGATACTTGATGATCTGGAAAGAGAGGCAGGGGTGAGATTCAGCCGGTACGGAACAGTTAAGGCAAACCGGTAGTTCCGGCGATGGTTTGGGCCCATCCACCCGCCTCTGTGCTATTCTGTCCTATATTTCCTTTGTTTGAAGCCCAGCAGATCGGCGCAGTAGCGCGGATCGCTGGGGCGGCTTGCTATTTTCAAAGGCATTGCGTGCGCGCTCCCTGAACCGGTTGTTACAGCGGTTGGATCCCACCACTGAAGAGAGGCCATGCATGGGTCATCCCAAGCAGCAGAGAGGCTCAAATGAACCTCGAGTTTGTCTTTCTGGACAAGACTGGCAAGCTGACTAGGATAGGAAACAAACTAAGCTCCGAAACAACACGTCTCAAGGCCCTGCTTTGTCCCGTCAGACAAATCAACGTGCTGGGAGTGACTGCACAGGGATCTTCCCAGGCCCAACGGCACCTGTTTAGTCCAGTGGCATGCCACGAGAGATCAGAAAAGGTAGGTAAATCTGCAAAGAGTGGGTGGGCTGCAGCCAAGGCCCACCCACTCTCATCCGTTGCCCAATCAAGGTTGGGAAGGGCGTCTGAAGTGGTACACAGATCTCTTGAGGGCGCTGCCCAGGAGCTGAAGACCATACTTAACCACAACTCGGTGACCAACGGGCTGAATTTCAACAAAGCATGCTCTTCCCTTTTTCACCCCCATAAATATGGATTGGGAAGGAGGGTGGGAAGCCTTGGTAAGACCCACCTTTTGGCTCTGCACCTGAGGCTGGGTGATCCCAGTGCCCCCACGGCCTACGACCTGAAACTGGGCCTTCTGGAGACCCTCCAATGAAAGGGGCTCTTTCGCCCACCTGGTCCACGCTTGCCAGGTTCTCCCTCCTTTGTGGGCTGTTCTCCGGGAACCCTTTCAGGGTCCTCTCTGCGTCCTCCGCCCTCCCTGACCAAACGGGGCAGGGGACGGGGACAAGTATGGCTTCGAAGCCCTCCAGCTCTTCACCTTTTGTCGGAACGGAAGCTCTTCGGGGCTCTTTCCTGTCAGCTCATCATCATCGTCATCCTGAGGGATCATGCTTGATGGGATGATACCCTTGGCATACTTCTTGGTTATTTCAATGAAGTCATCCAAGGCGATATAGTTCTTAGCTAAAAAGCATTCAAGAGAAAAAAATCTCTATGGTTCCTCCTGAGCAGAAGGTGGGAGAAGGGTCTAAAGAGGAGAGAGTCCCACCCAGGCAGCCTTTCCTTACCTTCGCTGCTAACCAATCTCTCCAGCATCCTTCTTTGCTTCTGGACGGTCTTTGGAAGCGGCCCCGAACGCTGTTCTCCTTGGCCTGTTTTCATGGAAACACAGGTCGGTGTGAAGAGTTTTAATGGGAAGCGGGACACAAAGGGTTAAAACCAGAGCTGGGTATTCAGCCGGTTCTGACTGGTTCTAGCGAACCGGTAGCGGAAATTTTAAGTAGTTTGGAGAACCAGCAAATACCACTTCTGACTGGCCCCGCCCCCATCTCTCCTCTGCCTCCTGAGCCCCGGCTGATTGGCTGGGTCTTCTTTGGTTGCCCTGCACAGGAGAACAGAGCTGGAAAGCAGGTTAGTGGGGTGGAGTAGAAATGGGGATTTTGCAGTAACCTTCCCCCTTTACTCCCTTGTTCCTTAACTGTTCCTTTCTCCTGGCATCTCTGTGCATGTGCACACTGGGAACAGGCTCCAGCTGTTCTTCTTTCCCACTGAACTCCGACTCCGAAGGCAGCTGATAACTGTCGGATGGCCCTGGCCCCATCTCTGCCTCCGACGCAAAGCCCTCGTTAGAGCCTTCCCCAGACTCCAGGACTGGCCCATGTTCCTCC